GAGGCATGCTGATAGGTCGTGGTTTGCGAACCACACCCTCTGTCTCTCTCTTCTGACGTTCCTCCTTTTGGGCCTTGAGTTTGGCGACCACATCGTTACTTGAAAGCTGGAAGGTGGCCTTTGTGGGTGCGCGGCCCTTTGGTGGTGCTGCAGGTGTGGGGAAAGACATACTGATCGGCCGGCGTTTCGAGGCAAGGTAATCTACTGTATCCGTGGAATCTACTCTACCATCTTTGTTAGGCGCTGTGCGGACACTGGATGCGCGAGCCATCGAAGACTTCACTGGCTTCATGCTCTTAGGCGCAGCAACACTGGGTGTCCTCGATAGCTTGGTAGCAGGCGCAGGCACTGGCCCTTTTCCGAGCGCCTTCGATCGCATCGTCTGTGTGGTAGCTGCTTTTGGAAACTCTGCCTTCTGGGGCGACATCACTTCATTCGCATGGTTGAAGCTGGTGACTGAGGTCACATTTTCCAGTGCCTCCTCAAGCGCATCAATGGCCCCAAAAGACTCCTCTAGGCGCATTGGCGATTTCGAGGGGCTGCGCGACGCTCGTCGGCTGGACGTATGGCTCCTAAGTGGTGTCATGGCATCTTCGCTGGGCCTCTCGGCTACAAGTGTCTTGGGCTCCGGTTCTGAGCTCACTTCGACTGAGGGTGCAGGGACTTCAGCGTCAGCTTCAAGCACTTGATTCTCAGACGAATCCTCAGTCGCTGTTGCCTCGACGGGTTGCTCCTCGCAATGGGGCTCATCGATCCGTGGCACTGACGTAGTATGCTCTGTCTGTACAGTATCGGCTTTCTCTTGAGGCGCTTCCTCTACCTCCAGTATGGGCTCATCATGCGCTTCCTCTACAGGCTCTACCGTAGCTGGCGCTTCAACCTCCTGTATCGGTTCCTGTGGGTCACTCTCAACCTGCGCTTCTTCTGCGCCTGTTGTTGCATCTTCAGATGATGTCTCCTCGGGGGAATGTGCTTCTGCGGTCGTTTCCACAGTCGAAGGCACCTCCTCTGCAACTGGCGCTGGTTCTGGCTCTTGTGATTGGGCGCTGAGCTTCGCTTGTTTCGCTTCCTCCTCCTGCATAGCCAGTTGTCGGCGTGTCAATCGCGGCGCTGGAGTCACGGGTCGCTCGGTGATTGCGGGGGCTTCTGAGGCTCCTGTACACCATTAGTCCACGGTTGTTGGTCTGGAGCGGCTGCGAACTCACCATCGGAAGCGTCTTTGGAAACATCGTCGCCAGTTGGTTCGTTCGTGGGCGCTTCATCTGCGGCTTGCTCCTCTTCAGGTGCGGCTCCGGTCTGCTCCTCTTCATCCTCCTCAGCCGCTTTGCCCTTCTTTCCCTTTTTCGCCCGGCCTTTGCCCTTCGCCTTCCTTCCTGGAGTCTTTGCGGGCGTCTTCGCGGGTGTTTTCGGGACTAGCTCCTCGTCATCGTGGCGGGTCTGCTTGGGCGACGCATTTGAGGAAATTTGATTCAAGGGTGCACGCTCGGTCGCGTCGGTCGCATCATCGTTGCCCTGTTGGGCGCGGGCGCGTGTGACACGCATCGAGATGTTCAAGGCGTCAGATAATTTGTGTCGTATAATTGTATCGAGCTGTCTATGCGCTGCTAGGATGCATTGATAGCGAACTGGTATCGTGTTGACGCTCGAGTGTTGATGCTGCACGAGAGTGGGCCCGATCATAACAAACATCCCTGCCGAGTAAAGTCCAGCCGTTTTCTCGCGAGCACGTGACGAGCGCATGTTCACCCGCCACGCGACCGAATCGCGGACCCGTGGCACCCCACGATTCAGCAACTCCCGGGTCCGCATCCGTGCGTGTAGAAGTGTCTTTTCGTTCCGTAAATTTATGAGCGGCCATCCATAGACCCCTTATTTGTCAATCGCATCTCCAAATTCCTTCCCAGTCTCTCATTACTATCAGTAACTAATTTTCTTTTCTCTGACGCGTCCTCGTCTCCTGAACACGAACAAGGAATCGCACATTGTCGCAATTGGCATAACGCAGCAACCGTTCGTGTCTATCAAAGCCACTTTCATCCATCGCGCGTCTCCGATCACCGGATGTTTGCAGCCCCGCGGTTGCGTCTCCTAGCCGTGAACAGCCGCCTTCAACCCCGCCCAAGCATGTCGTCACCTCGTGCGCGCGCTGGCTCCCGCCTTACACAGATCTCCAAGCATTTAGACTCGAAGCCCTTTCTCGAATTGAACACTCCCTTCTCCACTGAACGCACCGCCCGCATCGAAGACGAACAAGGCAATCGCATACCTCCCAAGAAGGCCGAAGAGTTCAAGCAGGAAGCCAAGAAGGAAATCAAGAAGGAAGTAGAGCAGGTCAAGAAGCTTGCGCCGGAACCACCCAAGAAGATGTCGAGCCAAGCACCACATCCTGCCCTGCTCATTCCTGGGCCCATTGAGTTTGACGATGCCGTACTTTCGTCTATGAGCCATTACAGGTAAGACTCCTTCGTCGCAATTACGGTTCATCCTGTTCGCAATTGCTAACCCCATCAGTGAATCGCACGTCGGCCAACCCTTTGTAAACACATTCAGCGAAGTCCTCGGAAACCTGCGCAAGCTGTTCTTGTCCAGCGACCCTGCCGCGCAACCCTTCGTCATCTCTGGCTCTGGCACACTCGGATGGGACCAGGCAGCGGCCAACTTGGTAGAGCCTGGCGATGAGGTGCTTGTCCTACACACTGGCTACTTCGCCGACTCATTCGCCGACTGCTTCGAGACCTACGGTGTCAAGGCCACACAGCTCAAAGCGCCCATTGGCGACCGACCACAACTCGATGAGGTGGAGAAGGCACTGAAGGAGAAGGAGTACAAGATCCTGACCGTCACCCACGTCGACACATCGACTGGTGTGCTCAGCGAGATCAAGGCATTGAGCGAGCTTGTCCACAGGGTCAGTCCCGAGACATTGGTCGTAGTCGACGGTGTCTGCAGTGTTGGCTCCGAAGAGATCCGCTTCGACGAGTGGAAGCTCGATGCCGTCATCACGGCTTCACAAAAGGGCATTGGCTGCCCAGCTGGTCTGAGCATCATGATGGTATCTGGCCGCGCGATTGAGAGGTTCAAGGCGAGGAAGACACGACCAACTTCTTACTTCGGCTCATGGAAGAACTGGTTGCCCAGTAAGTATCACTCAGTTTCCCGTACAACCACAATAATGGGACTAATAAAACCGCAGTCATGCAAAACTACGAAGCCAAGAAGGCTTCCTACTTTGCCACACCATCCCCACAACTCATCCACGCGCTCGATACTGCGCTCAAGCAGATCCTCGCTCGACCCGTCGAAGATTACTGGGCTGCACACAAGACCGCGTCGCAAAAGGTCAAGAAGGCTGTTGCTGATCTCGGTCTCAAGCAGCTTGCTTCCAAGCCTGAGAACCAGGCCACTGGTATGACCGCCATTTACCTACCCGAAGGTATGACACCTCCGGACGTTCTGCCCAACCTCATGAAGAAGGGTGTCATCTTCGCTGGTGGTCTGCACAAGGAGATCGCAACCAAGTACATTCGCTTCGGACACATGGGCGTCAGCGTCACCGACCCGAACCGACCGGATATCACCAAGGCGATTGAGAGCCTGAAGGAGGGTCTGGCGGAGGCTGGCTACAAAGCATAGCCGGTGAGTTCTACAACCCTACGAAGGAATTGATCTAGTATACCACATACCGAACTATCCGTTCGAAACAAACTTTCGCATACTACTACTATCTGTACATAAACGGAAATTCAAAAATAGAACACAAAATTCACTACCCGGCCGCTGGTGCAGCGTGATGATGAGTACAGTGGCTATGCCAAATCCTTCACACACTTCAAACCGGCAGCTCTCCACCAACGGCAGCAACACAGACTCTACTATACATGCCCGAGGCAAATATCGATCGCTAACTCACTGAGATCAACCAAACTAGCCTGCACGAGGCTAAGTTGCCAAGATTGCCCAGGAACAGCAACCTATGACATGAACTGCCGGCCCGTTGCCACCGAATGAAATCATCGAATTCTCTCCACACCACCACGCCTCTAACAGTCCAAGATGCGGCAAGTGGGTCTGGCAAGGCTGTGTTCCTGGTGCTGGATTCCGATGATGAATGGGCTTTTGGGAATAACGTACTTAATTCCCCCGATGCAGCGGCGTGTCTTCGGAGTCCTGAAATTGCTGTGAAGCCATTGCGCATTGTTGCCGTTTTTCTCTGGCATTATTGTTCTTTCAACCTTTAGCTCTATTCTTGTAGCTAGCAGCATTGCCCAGAAACACAGCCGTGGCTGTGGTAAGCTTGGAAGTTCCTCTCTTTCGTGATGACGTCTACATCGCGAAGCCTACAACACACTTGGGACACAGCATGGGCGACCGCACCACCTCAAGCATGCGCTACCCTACGCAATCTCAACGGCGCCGTTGCATGGGGCGAGACATGTGTCTTCCCCGAAGAAGATGAAGACCCGATACCCTTCAGCATAAACACCGCTTGCATGCCCTGGGTAACATCGAATATCTACCCATCGCCATCCGCATTCTACTCGCCCGCCACCGCATGCCCAGCGTCTTGGACGGCCGTTGCTACACAAACAGACGCGAATGGAGAGGGTAGCGATAACAGGTGGATAGACGGAGAGATTGGGTTGCAGTGTTGCCCCAATGGGTTTCAGGCAGATGGAAGAGATGGATGTCGACCGGGCGGCAGTGGAAACTTCCCAGTTGTTGAATGCGGAGAAGCGGATGCGGAAGAGAATGAATCGAGGACATATGCTGGTGGATCATGGCCGGCAAGCGCGACGCCGAGTATCACTGCGTTGCACTTGAGGTATCAGCCTAGTGATGCCGGCAGCGTAAATCCGACTGCTTCGAACACAGCGACTGGTGCATCCGCAAGTAGCAGTGGTGGAAGCCAAGGAGGAGGAAATGCTGGTGCCAACAACAGCAGTGGGAATGGAATCTCAACAGGTGCCATAGCAGCGATAGCCACCGTCGTCCCACTCGTCATGATCCTCGGAGCCTTAGCCTTATTCCTCCTCTGGCGTCGACGAAAAAAGAACAGGAAAGCTGCACTTGCATCAAAGCACATGGGAGACGAAAAAGACGACGACCCAACAAGACCCATCGACGACAACGCAAACCACTCCCCATCCGCCTACCACGCCATACCCAAAGGCACAACCACAACCGCAGCCCACTACGCCAACCCATCACAAAACCCGCATGAGACCCCCGAATGGAACGTCGAGATGGATGCTACAGAAGCTGAGCGTCAGAAACTCGCTAGTACTGCACCGCCATATGGAGGTTCTAACGTAGGGCTGAGTAGCCCGGGGAATGGAGAGGGAGCAACGGAACTTGCGGGTCTGGCGAGGGTACCGAGGAAACCTATTGCGCCGGTGGAAATTGATGGAAATGCGGTTATTCCGGAGGTGGGGGATGCGTATATTCCGTATAGGCCGGGGAGGGAGGGGAGCTAGGAGTTTGATACCCGAATATTCAATTGTTGATACTGCAAGTCCATGTGTTTGATGTGTATGATGGTACTCCTCTTCCACTGTGCGCGATATCTTGCCTCATCATTGGATTATGTTGCGCAGCCCTGCAGGCTGAACCCGAGGCGCATTCTCTCAAGATCATGAGTTGTTTTCTTCTTTCAACACCGGTCTTTGTGGATCATGAGTATATTGATATGAGGGATTTATGCAAGATGTAATGTTGCGTTGGCCTCATCATGTCCAGTCGATTGCCAAGGCTGAACTCAGCAAGGAGGCTGACTTCGGCACGCTGGGGCTCTCTGCCTGAGGCTGAGATGAATGTTGCTCTGATTGGCCTTGTTTGACTTGTGAGCCTCATTAGAGCTGGAATCCGGTGTTGCGTGGGCTGAGTATCGGGCTATGTTGAGGTCCTCCGCACCGGTGAGAGCCTCACTTGGTCTGATGACGAATCTTTTGCCCTGGGTAAATTCCTTGGTGCATGTACTATCCAATCATCTCCCCAGAACTCATAGCTTAGATGTTGCATTGTGGCTATGTATGTGGTCATCGGGTGCTTCGTGGCACAACTTCAACGCCCTGTCGACGTTATCGGGTACCCTGATCTCTTCCTACATGATACGCTAACCCAACCACCTCCTCTGAACCAGCAGTCCTCCAGACTCACGGAAGTCTTTATGTAGCGCTGCCCCAACCTAATTGCTGTCGAAAAAAAACTTTCATGCGTTTCCTCACAGTGCCAAAAAGATACGTACCGTCGAGAAAATGTATAAGACCCTGGGGGCACGGATGTACTATGACAATGCCATCCACTTCACTCTGTTTCTACTAAGTCTTTGTGACCTTTGGTACTTGCACTGACTTGACTTACTACTATCTTCTTGCCTCAGTTGCCTTACTGCTTGCCTACTTCACCCTCCTGCTCCTCATACCTTTCCAATCAGCTATCTCATGTCTAACGCAGACAGCTCTACAGAGCTTGCCTTGCAGATATGCTTTGGTATATTTGGTGTTTTGAGTACCGTTGCTACCCTAGCTGGTCTTCACCACCATGATTCGCTTGGCTGCGTCTTACTTCGGCGGCTAAGAGGTCGCCAGAGTTCCCGTATGTGCCTTTGAAACTACATCATATTCTGTCTTCATGTCTAATCAATACCGAAGGCGACCATGCTATGGAGGATGGTGTTGCTGATGTCAGCCTCGCAGACCTCGACAGCGTCGCGGACGATACGATGCTGTTTGAGCGGACCTCTACACTCCCACCTTGCTACGAACAGACCAATGAGAGCTCCCAACTCAGGATTCCGTGTGGTTCCGATGTCGATGCCAACCCGTCAAACAACAAGGCTAGCGGCTCGTGACACTCGGTGGACCGAAAATGGCACGATGGAGGGCTCATATATCTTAGTAACGGTCCTAACCCCACTGTTGTCACCCCATACCTAGGTATGCACTTCTAGTGCTTTTGGGTCTGCATTTGCCCGATTCGTTGATCATGTCCCGCTAGCCGGCCGATCAGACCTGAGCATCTTCTAGGAAGACTGCAGGCACAGCACCATCATGTACATTTAAACTCAACATGTTCAATCGCTCTATATATACTCTAGTAGCTACTCTGCATAGTGGATGCTGCGTTGTGGTCTTCTCGCTCACGCTAGGTCTTGGGAGTTCTCGGATACCTAGGTATGGAGACGTATGGCAGCTACCTAAGTATATTGACCGGTGAGCAGGATATGACGTCATCATTATCGACAGGAATTGCCATGGGGCAGGAGAGACCAACGCATTGTTACACTTTTCTTCACTTCCAAGATTTCCTAATAAGCCTATCAAGCTCCCAATAACCGCACCAACGATTTTGTTATCTACTGAATGATAATTGCGTAACAGTCGATATCCAGGTATAGTATTAATTCAGTAATCTCTTCTACCTGTGTTCCTGCACTTTGCGTAGATGTGTGTTCGTGGAGGATTGCTCCGAAAGAAAGATACAAAGACCGTTTCTTAAATGGCTATAAGACTACCTTCCAGATCAGGTTCGCCGGTGCAGCTGTTAGGGCAATTTTGCCTAGATAATCAAGTATGTTTTGGGTCCCGGAACGCTTTGCATACACATGTTCCAGTAGGAGTACGCCTCGCAGCGAAAAGAATGATCGCTTGTGAGCAAGAAGCTCCTACATTAGGCACTCTTCGGTAATAGGGACTTGGTGTAAGATAGAGAGTGTGCCCACGTTAGTTATACCTACGTATGGCAATGCGTGCATGATGTCTACAAACCTTCAGCCTGCTAGTGTTGAGGTTCTCGTGGCTAATCAGTGTTGCCGCCATCATGGGAGCTCACCTGGGCATATACGCGACAAAGTTCTGATGTCGAACTTTGCTAAAGCTACAATAATCTGGGTGTACTGCGGTTGACATGATCTACACACCTCTCAAAACTCGACCTCTTCACCCCCTTCAAGTTCTTACTGTGAACCAAAATTAAGAACTGATGGATAAGTAATCTTTACCTGATGTGAAGTCTCTCTAGCCATTTGAGCCTCGCTGCGCGTAAATATGGAGGTCAGCACGGGCTGGAAGAAACGCAGTAGTAGTAGCACTTAGAGCACAAGAAGTCGTTGTCACATGCTTTCATTGACTGCCCGGGTGGGAACCATGAAGGCGCGACAACAGGCGTTTCAATTTTCCGCAGCAGCCCAAATCCCGACGCTTCCAAGTTTCTCTAGAACCGCCACCTTTTTTCAGCCCAATGCAGAAATACTCGTTGGTGAACATTATCAGTAAAGCGCGCGAGATCTGGAGCTGTCTTGATTTGACGGGTTTCATGAGAAGATCCAAGATGGGTTGAGATCAAGAAGTAGGGGGATAGGCTACAAGCTTCATGACGGCGAGCTTCAACAGCATCTGCGAGCGTGATCGTGGATAGGAAAGTAGTCAAAAGAAAAGGAACCTGTGTTGGTGAACTTGAAATTACAACACCAGTCAGGCATATGAACGTATTCCAAGTATGACGATATTACCGCCTGTTTTTCGCTCTGATCAAGCCATAGTATTCGGCGTCCTTCCTGCCCAAAACGGCATCATATGGTGGATTGTGCATTGTTGTAACAAGGAAACGTGTGTTGTGCCATTTGTCCGTATTCCTTTCCCAGCACCAGTCCAAGTCGACGTATCCGTCGATTTGTTCGCCGTAGACCTCTGTCTGGACAGGCAAAGCGCCTTCTTTGTCGATCGGATGGTATCGCTGGCGCAGCACTTTCGTTACCAGACGTTGGGAGATAACGTTGGAGTCTGTCGCAATATCGCAGGATAGTATCGCACTGCGTGTTGTATCTACATCGTTGACAGATCGCGCGCGTATGTGTACTGGGCTCGGATGTTGTGGATTGCGACGCTTCTATGTGGAAGGATAAGCACAAATAGGATACGACGCGAAGGTAATGTATTCTACAAACCTTTCTAGTTGAACAGAAAACATGCGTAAAACTACATCTGGGCATAGTGCGGGTAGTTCATGAGCAGCGACGACTCAAAGGGCGCTTGGGTCGATTCGAAGGACTGAGGGTGGAGGAACTAGCAGGAGGACTCCATAGTTGGCCCCGAGGGGCGTGCGATCCCGGAACCAGTCCTCCGGCGGCGCCGTGAGACACACCATTATAACCGCATAGGCGTGCGGAAGCATGCAATCCTCCATCCTGCGAGGGGGGTGGATCAAAGATGTGTAGGCGAGACTTTTAGTCCAAGCTCAGTCCGTACACAGTTGAATCCACTGCTCCGACGCTGTCAAGCTCTCAATGATATGATGGAGTCCTTCAGGCTCGAAGAGGGCCCGAGCGGAGGTATGGCCACCTGAAAACTGGCCATATGTACTGCGCCCCTTGCCAAAACATCTCAAAGTGGAAACATACACTTGTGTGCTCGCAGCTAACATGCCTTAAAGACTATAAGATTGTTCTCGAGTGCTTAGTTCACTCTGCGCCGACTTGCCCGGCTTGTCTGCGCAATGTGAACCAATTCCTTGAGGGATCGTGGAACAAGTAAGTATGCCTCGTCCCCGGCCGAGCTGAGCTCGCTAGTCAGGATCAACCAGCCCTGTTAGTTCGCTTCGCCAGGCGGCTCTTCCGAAGCCCGAGCCGTCCCCGGGTATCACGTGACTACAAACGTGGGGCTCATCCCGTTTGAAGCGACGTGCGATTAATACGTACCTTCTTACGCCTCTTAACATTTCGTGCAGGTGTTCGTTAGGTGTAGCGGAACAGAGTCTGTAGATATAGGCGAAATATACGAATCAGCACCTCCTCTGGTAGCGATGGGTACCTACCTAGGTACCTAGGTAGCTATGTATTGCTGGATGCATCCTCAAAGTGTAGATGTGGTGACCATGGTGATGCATGAAACGCCTGCGGGTAATTCAGGCTACGTCACCCCGCCGCACAGCCTATCCCAGTCGCGCCTACTGTTGCTCCTGGCGGTGCACGCTGTATGCACACACCTGGGCAGAATTTAGCCCTTGCAACAACGAGGCCATTGTACTCGCATTGTCTTCTTCGCGTTAGTCCATCTTGCTTCCCCACCTTCCTAAGTCCCTCAGCCAGAGCTTGGTATTGAAAATTGTGTAAGGTCTTCACTTCTAAAGCTTGTACGTACACCTCAGTATACTTCTCCACCCAAATCATACGTTCTGACAGTACATATGCCCCTTAGTTGTAGCAATGACAGGCCTCCACATACATCTTACGGCGATAAGGCTGCCGAGGTCTGGTGTGTCCAGCTTATGCAGCCTGGCGCATGTCTACAACGAGGTTGGCCACTCAACATTGACAACAATGTAATAAGGCTAGAGAGACAACTCATCATCTGTATGCCTCATCTTGGTCGGTGAGCCTCATGCAAAGTGCCTCTGAAGATAAAGCATAGCCTGCTTTCCTCGATCAAGAAGCTCTCGAAGCTTAACACAATGCACACCTCCTACCCTATGATCCCGATGGATCCGTTTCACGACGCAGTCATTGGCTACCCCAAACTCGCAGCAAAGATTGCTTTGCAGCCTGAAGCCGCCATATACCGCAGATTTGGAGCAATGAACGCACAGAACCTGTTGTATCTACAGGCCGAACTCATAGACCTCGAGGAAAGGCTGAAAGAACAGCAAGATCTGGACAACAACGACAGCACAGGGAGAAAGTCAGAATATGCCAAAAACTGGTTCTCCTTACAAGACTCGGCAGTCGATGGCGATACCGAGCAACTCGACCTCGTTCTGAAAATACGCGAGCTACTGAAAGAATACAGTATGTAAAAGAGACAAACCTTTGACACACGGTACAAGAATAGCGGCTCATTACGATCCAACAGATCACGCTCTGATCCAGCAATCGCTGATTCTCGGCTATTCCGAACCCGGCAAGTGGGATTTGCATGACATGCAAGACTATCTCCAAACCCCACAGATGGGCCCATTGGCCCTGACAGGCGAAGACGCAACAGTGTGGGGCTCCATGAAGGATCGTACCTCACACGCGCCTGACCTGGTAGCCTTGCGCCCACGTGCTAAAAAGGACGCATTCTCGGTCTGGGCCGCGGAAAATACCATTTCCAAACTGCGCTGGGGAGGATGCATGCGCTTCATGAAGGCATCACCTGTTCATGGCGTAGTCGGATATGATGACAGTACCATCTATCGCATCACGTATTGGATCACCAGCCTTTTGGCTTCCCTAATACCGATCGCCTCCATCGTGGTGCTGTATTGTGTGCGATCGATGCCGGCAAGATTCGCTACCATAGCTGCGTTTAATGTGCTGTTGTCTGTGTGCCTCATGGGCCTTGCGGGTGCAAAACGGGCTGAGGTCTTTGCTATTACCGCCGCGTAAGTCTCCTCTACCAGTCTCGCAAGCTAATACTGATAATGACAGTTTTGCCGCAGTGCAAGTTGTGTTCGTTGGTCAAAATGAGAGTACACCGGCGTAAGGAGAAATATGTACACATATATGGTTCAAGAGCTCGCATGACCATGACTATGCAGTAAGGGCTATGGTGCTGCAGCAGGTAGTAATGCTGTGTTGTCATTAAGTGAGGAATGTACAGAATCTATGGCATGGTAACATCCCGTATGCTCGTGCAATCGTTTCAATATCTAGCCGTTCGTGTCAGATACCTCTTTGATGCAACCCAAACCGAGACCGTAGCTCATATCCCACCAGAACTTTAGTTGCATGAGGGAAATGCCGTCCTTGTTATAAAAGCCCTCTAAGATAGAAGTAGAAACCGTTGAAATCTAATAAGAACCCCCTAAACTCCAGCGCTATAATTCGGATCGTGGCCCGAACAAAATTAACCAAAGGTTTGTGAGTGAAGAGAAGTTTGTGAAACTGGCGTTGCAAAGACCAGGATGAAGCATGCAAACAAAGCAAAAGATGCTTCATAAAACCACTGCGAGTGAACGCGATGGGGCAGGTAGAGAGATAATGCAGCTGCAAGTATCCTTACAGAGAAAAGAAGAAAAACGTTGAAAGTCGAATAGGGCGCATGGTGCATGCGCCTAAGTTGTCCCTTTTGAAAACTCCTTTTCGCAGTGGCTAAGTAGGGGAGATGAAATAGGCCAGGGTTGTGGTCGTCGGGATTTTTGTGTGGTTGGTAAGAAAGCTTTTGTCTATCGGTTCGTACTTGGAAGGGAGTCTTGAACCGACTGGGAGTGTGCAGCCGATTGAGGTTATGGACGTTGTTATGGCTCGCCGATGTGGGAACAAGTGTGGTAACTCGGGTGCTAAATGGCGTGGAAGAACGGAGACGTTGCGTGCTCGATAATTGGGCAAGGGTATGTTTCCTCGATCAAGTGTGATTGTGGCGAGCCTGCTGGCGTCTTTCGTGGCAAGACATCTCGCATTTGCCGATTGTTTCTCCCGCCAACATGTCAACACACCAACAAGAGCAGCTCCTCGGCGGGTTCGCACTATTTTTTGACTCTCTTGTCCTTTTCTTCTTTCTCGCGCTGTTTCTGGGCCTCTTTTGCTTTTTTGCGTCTATCCTCGGCGGATTCTTGCTCGTCATCGACGTTCTCATCTACACACTAGCTGTTAGTGATGACTAGGCGGGTAAGAGCTTGCAACATACTATTCACGCTGGTATTGTAACCCCGCCAGGCAGCGATTATTCGCTTCTTGTTGCGTTTAAAGAGCTCTAGCCTATTGATGGTAGGTCGCCCGATGATGAGATAAAATTCATCGGATTCCATGACGTGGCAGGTCGACGATTCGTAAAGGGTCTCCCGAAAATAGGGCCCAGTGAATCGCCGCGCATTGTTATTGATTCCATTCCATCTGATCTCGACTTCGGCTATGCTCAAGTAGTTTTCGCGACCGGTAATGCTGGTGCCGATGGGGACGCCGGCGGACGCGCTGTACGTGTATCCAGGAAAGAGGGAAAGACAGTGCGTGGATATAACATTTTCGGGACTCTGGGGGTCGAGGAGGATCTTCACATGCCTCCTAATCTCGTCATTTCCAACGACAAGGTACACGTACCCGTCTGGTGTCCACATATCATTGTCGTGTTGCTTGTGAAGCTGGCTCGGCGCTGACCGTCTTATCCACGCTTTAACTCGATGCCAAACACTCGATTCGGTGGTATGGGTATTGTGCGCGGTATTAGTGGTTATCGAAAGCGGTGGTGTCCCAAGCGTCGCGGTCTCGGATAACCAATCGAACTGTGTGGGGCTAGTTGTTGTTGCTAAACATACGTCAGGTAGCCGTCTCCTCTAGCTGCACCGAGTAGTACTGCTCAAGGTAACATACAGTTTGTCTCCCTGGGCGGCCCCTCGTCGCGAGGATGTTGCTGCGGCGCCATAGCACTTGTTTCGTCCCGTCGCGGGTGGAGTGGCGTCGGGCTGTGCCGATGTTTCTCGTCTTGACAATGTGGACAAAGGAGTCCAGGCTATGCCACCTCAGGTTGTGGAATGGTAATAGGTTGTGGGGTGGTGCGGATAACCTCTGATACCGCAGAGACGGCGAAACCGGAGGAGACGACGCAATGCTGGTATGCCGCGAACAGGAGTAGCAAATGGACGTGTGGTCGCCGTGCTGGTGACGTGACAGATAGGAGTTGGCGGAATCGCACGTCTCGAGTATGGGAGCACCAACGGCTGACCACATGCAAAGGCGTGGAAAGCGGCGCCGGGGGTTGCGATTATGTACCCCAGACTTAACCGCAAGTCATGCCAGGTGGGCGCGCCGGCGCGCGGCGACAACATCCCAGTAACGCATCGGCCGCAGCCATCCCAAACGTGAGAACAAAATGGAGACATCAACCGTCGTTATACATCGATTGTCTCCAGGTTAATAATATTACCACATTTGTCACGTACAGTAGGCTCTTGTTCTGAAATAACTAACTATCTAGATACCCATTGTCTGAAGCAGATCCGGTAGAAGTGAAGTGAAACGCACGCTCCGAGACACCCGTGAAGAACTACATTAGCATACCTGCCTAGGTAGGTGGAACACGATATCTGCCTGAGCCTCCACACATAACGGCTTGTAAGCCTTCGAACGCATTTGTAGCAACTTAATGAGTTTGCTGTGAAGCTGTGAAGCTATAACCGTGTCGCGCTGTTGCTCTACGGCGGCAAGTGGCATCCAGGGATGTGGACCCGAGTGGCGAAAGTAGAGATCAGGGACAACGTGCACTCGCGACATCTGGACGGTCTCCCATCTTTTGCAATCATCGCTTTCACGAAAGCTCATTATCAGTACATACTCATACACGCAACGAGACATCTCTCCAGGGCTCGTACCTGACTACCAGCCATGGTTCACACGTCATTGCGCACTAAGGCGCCCGCAAAGGCGCTAAGCAAGGATACGCGTTCGCAGCCGTGGCTACCGGCTAGAAGCTTTTTCCCGGTAAGGTGCTTCCTCAGATCAATGGAGAAGCTGTGCGAGGGAGGTCTTCGCGCTGCTATTTCGTGGCAGAACTGCAAGCTTGGCAGGGACACATCATTTAACGATCGGAAATATGTCTGAATCTCTACCGACCATCATCTGAATTTCATCTTATCAACGAAGAAGAGCATGCGCCTTTGTTTCAGACCGAGGCTTGGCCTTGATTCAGGCCATCACTCGATTAGTTGTCGCCCCCATAACAATGGAGTCGCACAGCTTATACTACAGTTCCAACGAAGGCGACCGAACTTTGAACAGCAGACTCAGAACGTGTTACATCAGTCTTCATAGCCTTTTGGGCAACTCGAAATAACAACCCATACAGTCAGCGCGGATGAAAACATGCCGCAAGTTTCGGATGGCCATTTCGCTTTTCGAGCGTGAACACTCGAACCAGATAAAATCCCATGCATTGATTCCATCATACTCTGGGACTTCTACGCGTGTAATTTGAGGCAAGAGTCTTGACACCCAGTGTCCGGCCCAGGCATACATGCACTGATGTCGGTTCACCGTGATATGCAGAAGTGCCTGTAGGTATAGAGACGCGCGGTCCGAACAGCCAGCATATGCCAAAACCTGGAATCGTATTCGATGAAGTATATCACACACTTTTCCCAAGCCGTCAAAGACCTGAACTCCGCAATAGTGACACAGAACAGCCCTGCACCCTCGACACACGTATGCAGACACTCCATCAAGCCCCCTAACCATCAACCTTAGCAGCACTATCAGCAACCTCACCAGCCGTCTCAGCCATCTCCTGATCCTCCTTCTTCTCAGCCTTCTCCGCATCCCCCTTACTCGGCACGCCATCCTTATTATCCACAAGCTCCTTCACGACATCGACCGTAGCCGCCGGACCACCAGGCTGCACCGCAAGCACCTTGCCCTCCTTATCAACAACAAAGACACCGCGCGTGGTGCTCTTCGGCGGCTTCTTGAAGCCAATGGCAGAGATCAGGCTCTGTGAAGGGTCGCAAAGCAGGGTGTAGGGCAGCTTCTGCTTGGTCTTGAAGGTTGTGTTGGCTTTGGGGCTGTCGGCTGAGAGACCGTAGATGGAGTAGCCGGTTGCGGTGAGGGGGTCGTAGGAGTCGCGGAAGAGGCAGGCTTGTTTTGTGCCTGTGGTTGTACGCGTTAGTACTGCTGTGCGCACGCGAAGGAGATGTCAGGGGTTGGAGGCTTACATCCTGGCGTTGAAGCCTTGGGGTAGGTGAAGAGTACGACGCCGCCCTTGCTCTCCTCTACGAGCTTTGCAAGCGTGGTCTTGTCTCCATCGTTCGTCTCAAATTCTCCGCCAAAGGACGCGAGGTCAATGGTGTCGCCGACCTTGGGTGGGCCGGTCGCAGCGGCAGCGGAATCGCCGTTGCTCTTACCGACAACAGCTTCCTTGACAGCTTCGACCTGTTCAGTGACAGTTTCCTGGACTTTCTCGACGACAGTCTTCTCGCTCTCGGGCTTCTTCTCCTTGGCGGGCGCCTTCTTCTTCGTCGGGCGCACAGGCGCTGGGGGCGCTTCCTTGCGCTTACGGAGCTCGACGGGCATGATGAGAATGGAGTCGCGAGATAGTATCGCAGTCGCGTTAGTGTCGCGGGGACGTATAAACTTCAATCAGGGGGAAATTGGGCAGCGAAGAGGTCGGGGTTGGACGCTTGAGCGCTCGTGGAAATCGAGGTGGGACGGTTGGCTAAGGGCAGGAGTACGAAAACCAGCGGAACAGTGGTACAACCCTTCGCAAGATGAACTATCGTACCAGTTCGCGGGAAAGATATCCTCGGCCTGATTCAGTAAGAACTATAATATGTTGCGTCGTCTAGTCAACGGAACGCAGCGTAAGCATCGTGGTGAGCCCGAGCGAGGCCAGGTCGTCCAGCCTCCTCACTTGGCATTTCCCGTCCACATCGATATTAGCCAGATTACCTGAGCCTGCGTCTTTTTCTTCGGGAAACAGCTTATTTCGGACGCGCACTGGGGTAGGAGAGGCTTGTCATTGGCTCGTGAAGTGAGGAGTCGTGAGATGGGCAGCGCTCGGTTGTGCAGGTCCCGGCGCGTCATAGCTTCCCTTGCGCGATGCTACTGTTCAGCAGCAACACTGTCTCCCGAAAAGCCCACAATTGATATCGAATGCGTTGATTTTCTGATATTTACAACACAATTGCGCTTATAATTAATCTACGTGTTGATTCTTCACCCCATAACGCCCATCAGCGAGCTTGAAAGGCATGAGAACACTCTTCCAGCTCATGCGCTACATCTATGCATCTTTGGTACTTCCTGAAACCCAGCTCACAGGATGCCAGTTGTTTTCGCAAGAGAATACCTTGCCTCCAGATCCGCGGTTCAATGCCCATCCAGACGACCACATTCCAAGCCCAAACTGTAGCAGGGAGTCAGCACTCATTTTGTAATTCCTTGGGGAGTGGACTCACGATGAGCATCCCTAGAATGACAATAGAGATATTCAAGATGGTAAAAGCTGTCTGCGAAGTGGACGAGAACAGCCTGCCGTTCTTCTTATTGTGCCACAGCCACATCAGTGGGGGAAGCGCATCTACACGCGTCAGCCAATGCACCTATCATTATCCATAGTGAGTAGTATTAGTAGTGACTTACAGCTAAACCAGCTTCCAAAGAGAGCTCCGATCAATCCCAACAACAAATTAAAGTTCGGCACTGCTTCAGCCAAGATCCAGCTTACCAGCCATGCGCCTGTACATATAGCGCCCCAACTTCCCAAGCTCTTCCAGCTGTTAGTGGATGCTACATTGGTACCCTTCCATACGCGAAAGTAGATGTATTTGGTCGCTACAGAGCCATTGACTACGCCTGCGACGATGATTGTGGGCAGCGCGATGCCAAAACAAATCTTGCTGACGAGTGGGGACGCGGAACCGAGGGCGGGTGAGGCTACGAGAGGCCCTGCGTAGTAGTATATGATGACGGAGATGAGCATGTAGAATGTGACTGCGATACCCTGCTCGAAGATGAGAGCTTTGCGGAAGTCGCGAGGGTCTTCGAGTTCGGATTGGAACGAGAAGAAAGCGACGTGTCCAGCTGTATGAGATTAGTAGACGTCTTTATGACCACAGAACCACGATACGACGTACTGTAAGCTAGGACTATATTCATCACCTAAAGATGGATGTACGAAGTCAGTGTTTGTCTCACATGCAGTTCGTACATCAGCAATTACTCACAGGTGCAAGGCCTTTGACGAGCGGTACGTCAGGTCGCACAGCAACGATGTTGCCCATGTCTGGCTTCTGGATACTAATGGCGATCATGGTTACAGTAACTGCTACAATGATGGAACCGCAAGCTAAAATGTGTCAGTCGCGAGTTCACATGAAGCGATCGGATCCTTTGGCCTACAAAAGTAGCTAAAGTAGCTGATGTTCTTGAACGTTCTGGGCAACCCTAGCAGGAAGGAGATGATCAGTCCGACAACAGTAAAGACGATAGTGCAAGTGCCGTGGTCAGTCATCGCATTCATCGCGACCGCAAAGGTCAAGATGTGCGCCCCCATGATGAATATCAAGACTAGTAGTTGTCCGACAGCAAGCACCTCGCGAAGCACTGGCCCACTCATAAGCATGCCGCA